ATTATTATTGTAACATGATTGAAAGAACTACAATAACAATATACAGAGAGAACAACTGAACAACTATCAAGCAACGGACTACGCCACTGGAGGTACCGTCTAAAATAAATGGGGGAACAAATTTTACCTACCATATTTTAAGAAATTTGCATTTGAGTGGGGGCCTTTTCCCACCTTCATTAATGTACATCCGTCCCTAGTTATACATGTCTTTTTAGTAGTGGTTTAATGATACAAAAAATGGTTTACTCAGTAAGCTTTTAATGAGAGCTTTATATAGAATGTCAAGTTTTTTGTTCTTCTAAAAATGTATATTCCAATTAGAAAACACGTTCATTCCATCTATGGAAAAAAAAAACTCTTTCAAATTATAAGGACGGATTAATCCAGCAATCAGCTTTATTTATACAAGAATTAATGAAAAATCAACCAAACTGGTGAGGTCCCATGATTTATTTACTTGGGTATTAAACAATATTTACTTTAATTTTCAAAATAAAGCCATCTTGTTAACATGGTTAAAAGAACTCAAACCCTTTTGTAATTATTGTTTGTGGAAAAATAAAAAAGAGAAATATGAAACAAAAAAACATCCCATTTTTCTATTATTTCATCCACCATTCTTTTTGTCATGATTTCCATGTTGAATTGATTTTTGATTGCATGATTTTGTCGACACCAAAAAAAGTAAACCTATTTATATAATAATGCTACATTTACCCTTTTTAATTTGTCTTAATCCATATGTAGTTTTGTGGTATATGAATATGTCCAAAAAAATAGGTTAATCAGTAAAAAAAAATAATTGTGGATGTTCGAGTCCGTACCTTGACTAATTTCATAAACTCTGTAAAACAGTTAGAAAAATTCCTACAAACCAGTGACCTTTGAGAAAAATCTTTAAAATATTCTTGAGACCATAACACAGTTAACCGATTAATTATCTTAATAATGTAAGTGAAAATGTGTAATATCAAATTCATTGAACTTTAAAAATCCAATAAAAATAAGAGTTTATAAATAAAAAAAACTATAAATTTCTTTTGAAAATTTGGCTTTCTTGAAATGGGTTCCTTAATGTGGTTGTAACTTGATCTTTTGACTTGTTGCTTTGTTTAATTTTTACTGATTTATTGGTTGTTCTATATTGTTTTTCGGTTGTTTTATCAGGTTTTTAGGACCTAGGTAGTCATGTTTCTGATAGGCTCCTTTTAGATACTCTGGTTTTATTCTTGTGTCCTAACCTATGTCGATTTTGGCGGACCGTGCTCCACCCCGGTGAACTCATACGGTTCCGACATTAGGTTTTTTCGGTGTTTTCAGTTGGTACATGCGGGCGTACACCTTGCTCCTTAACAGTAGAGAGAGAGTTATTTCTCACCAGTGACTTAGTGAGGGCTAAACAGAAGTTGGGCCCCTGATCCGTGTAGACCAAGGGCGATTTATAAAGCAGATTTATTTTGATTATTACATCGTCTTTTCTATAAAAAAAAATGTTAAGATTAACCTTGTTTTTTGTGATAATTTAGAATTCAACTAGTTTAATGAGGTGTTTGTATGCTTTGTAAAAGTGGTTACTGTGAATCTTGTAGTACTTAGAAAATTAACTTTTATTCTAATTTATTAAAAAAATTAGGCCAAAACTATTGAATTTAGAGTAGGTAAAAAGTTGTCATAGCAAGGTTGTTTATCAAATCATTTAAGCATCTACTGGCAAGAAATATCACCCTTAGTTATCTTAACGTGTAAAATATTCGACCATGAAAGTTGAGTGTTGGTAAGCGTCTTAAACCCGATAAGTACTTATCGGGTAAGAGTCATTTCCCACACTTACTGGCTAAGACTCCAGTTCGTGTCTTGTCTCTTATCGGGTAAGATTCGCGGTCTTTATCATACTCAATCAATAAGATAAATGATATCAGGAAATGCTTACCGTATTTTCCTTAATTTGTAATTATTATTTGATTCAAATCATTAAAATTATAATAATCACACATATTCAAACATTTGTCAATTTTGATCAATGTGAAATCCAATAACACAATAATAAAAAAGAGTACGAATGATTAAAAAGGAGAAACAAAATTGTGCAACTAATAACATTTTTTAGGAAGAAATTTACCAAATCTATGATTTTATATTATAATTTTTGATAACTTGGTTAATTACAAAATTAACGAACCGTTTGGTTCAGACAAGGAAATTAAAACGTGGATGAAATGAAAATGACAAGAAAAAAGTTCCTACGGTTAACATGGAATGAAACTTTGAATTATGAGAGAATAAACTCATTATACCATATTAGAATGGTACTTGCGCGATGCAGCGAGATGCATCTTGATTTTAATATTTTATTTTATTTTTTATCTCAGTTGATGTGTTATAGTATGGTCTTATTGATTCTAGAAAAAAAAACGATGATTTTTTATTTTTGAATAAAATTTAAAGTTGAAGATATCATAAAAATTTGATAAAAATATATCGATATTAGTATCAAATTAACTATTTAAAATTCCTATTTTTTGTATAATTTTTTAATTCAATTTTTTATTATTATAATTTAATTTAGGTTCAATAACGAAGTAATTTATATTTGATTTAATAATATAATTTTCTTATAAAGATAATAATTAATTATTTTGTTAGAATTCGATAATTATCTTAATTATATTTTAGATTTTTTATATTTTAAAATAAAATGTTTATCCTCTATTTGATTATATTTATTCGCAGTTAGTTACATAAATTCAAACATGTAGATTAATAAGTTGTACTTATACATAATTTACTTGTAATCTTAAATTTTAAGTAATATGCATCATATACAGTACTTCATGCATAAAAAATGATTTTTACAGAATTTTTATCAAATACTATAAGTTTCTTTTATTTTGAATCTATGCTAATATCTTTACCAAACACCCTTCAAATAAAAGGCAAGTGCATCGCATTTTGCTTCAAGTTTTCGGTGGAGGTTCAAACGAGAACTCCTGTGATTTACGAGAATGCGAGAACAACCCAATAACCTCAAACTTTTTTAATTAATAAATTAACTTTTATTATATATAAATAATTTAATAAGGACAATAATGTAATTAAGTAATTTTTATAATTTTTATTTTATTTTAATTAACCATAATTATCTTTTCACGTTCCTAGTTTTACTCTTGGTAGTTATCTTCTTCTTCTTCTCGTTAACATATTTTCTTCATATCACACCTCTATCACATAAGTATCACACTCATATCATATGATTATCACACCCATATTATATGATTACACCAAAATTTTAACTTGTCAACCAAAACGATAACCCAAGTGATRTATAACAGTGATTATCACACCCTTATCATATGATTATCACACCCAAATCACATGATGACACCAAAATTTTAACTTATCAACCAAAACGTTAACCCAAGTGATGTATAATGGTGATTATCACACCCCTTTCACACTTATATCACATGATTATCACACCCCTATCACATGATTACACCAAAATTTTAACTTATTAACCAAAACGATAACCCAAGTGATGTATAATGGTGATTACCACACCCCTATCACATGATTATCACATCTAGTATAATTCTAACCTATTTCGTAACCGTTTTACTAGATAATGATAATAATGAGTGTTTAAAATATAATGATCGTGTTTAAAAGATTTGATGATATCATTTCCATTATTACCCTTTTAATTTTAAATTTTTTTGAATCTTTTTAAATTTAAATTTTAATTTTAAAAATCTTTTAATTTTATTTTTTATCACAATATGAKGTTATTGGGTTGTTCTTGCGTTCTCGTAAATCACAGGTGTTCTCGTTTGAACCCTTCCTCAAGTTTTCTGACATGTTTAAATAAAAATACCACTCACATCCATGATTTAACGGGTAGAACAGGACATGGAATGAATAGCTGAGAATGGACGGACGCTATTACTTTTCAGTAACATGATATATAATAGAAATTCTTGAAGACACAAGAGAACGATAACATGTATTATAGGACATGTATTTTGTTTATTTCCATAACATGAAATATATAAAACATTAATAGAATGCACTATTTGCTTTTAACCAAAAAACCAAAACGAATAAGTCGATTAACCAATGACCCTAAGCTCATTCGGTTTAGCGGCTATTTTTACCCCTAATAATAATGAAATAGATGAGTTGATGCAAAATGGCATTTCTTGAAATACATCTAAAAAATAAGGGTCATTTTACTGATAAAATTTAACACTATCACTTACTTACCGGGTTAGATTTTAGTCCACCAAAACAACATCGTATACCCGGTAAGCATTTACCATGGTAAGAGTCATCGCCCTCACTTACCGGGTAAAACTCTGGTCCTTGTTTCGCTTTTACCAGATAAGTTCTTGATCCTTACCATATTCATCAGATAAGGTAAATGACTTTGGTAAACCCGAGCAAACGATGATTTTGGCAAAATTAAAAAACTGAAATGGTTTCTTCATTCAACGAACAATGATTTTGGCTAGCGAATTACATCTTCAATTTTGATCCGGGTGTTGAAAATCCTACATTTCTCCGATGTTTTAGATATATATCGTATTTTTAGCCTCACCTTGTCACGTGTGTTTTAGTCTCTATCAGAGTACAAGAAAATATCAAAGGGTCATTCAACCAACAGTACCGGACCACCAGTAGAGCATAGCCTCTTAGAAATTCGAGGTTCAAACCTCCCCAAACTTGAGCGTGTGCGTGTGAGTATATAAATATTAAATACTTGAAGAAAATATTGTTATAAAGATTTCTTTAGGGTCATCGTATAGTTGAACACTCGTAAAACCAGTTGCTTTATTCAACCCAGCCCCAAGACTCCTCTGGTTTGGTTTGGTTTGGTTTGTTCTAGTCATGCGTATAGCTGAAAATTGGTCCAGAATCGTTCTTGTTTCAAGTATATGATGCACTAGAACTTGCCTAATGAGTCCCACAGAACGGGAACAACTAGAAAGACCCCTTGATGTGATTTTTAAAATGAATTTATCAAAAAGCACAAACTATCGATCAAACAAACCCATCTCAATTAAAGAAACGTTACATGTTCAACATATCTTTTTATTACCAATGGAAACAATAAGAAGCGGTGCTCCAGCACTTCCAGTCATCATTGGAAGATATAATAAGTTCAACTGCAAAAAAACAGAACATATAAGAACAACACATGACATGTCCTAATATGCCAACAAGCAGCCAAAGAATGATATTTAGATGAAACAACCACATAGTTGCTGCAACTTTAGTTCAATTTTCAAATTCATCATGTCAAATGGGGTTTAACTTGAGTTCCACGTGTAAGCCAAATTTGTATTTAACACCCCACTTTATGAGTTGAAAGTAAGGGGTTGTTTGGTTAGTTTTCCATTAAGTCCTAGATGGATAAAGTTGTGTATGGATTAATCTGTCTGTATAGATTAATTTTTTGTATAGATTGAGAAAGCTTTTCTTTGGGAGGGTTTTTTCATAGATGAAAGGAGCATGTTTTTAATTGGAAGAGACAGGTTCGGAAAAAACTTGACTTTCTACATAAAGCTCTCCCTAGGAACTTTCTTCAATATCATTATACCACTACCAAACAGTCATGTATAGCTGACCGAACAAGTTGTGTCTCCCATTAAGCTCATTAAGCTGCTAACAAACAGGTGGGCTGACTTGCATAAGAATTTGCCCTAAAGCTCGATACCAGTGTAAATCTACTGATCCCACCCTACATACATATATATCTCCGCCTATGGAGCGTACTGAACTTGTGATTAGCTTTTCAGGAAATTTCCAAATGAATAATTGCATTCTAAATCTTTCAGCATTCTAAATTTCCAAATCGACCAATCCCACTACTATACTTCTCTGTATTTTTTCTTGTTTTGTATCGCAAGTTTATTAATAGCTCGAAAGAGCCTATGGATCCTAGGTTTACAAAAATAATCCTCAAGGGCAGTGCTAGTTTAACTCACCTGGCTGCTTGCACTACCTTTGTCCTATGAAGGTCATGTTTAGCAACCATAAGCTAGCTCATTTTTAGGCTTATTGAAAACACTCCGTTTGTTTAACCATAAACTAGCTTATAAACTAGGGTTTTCGAAAAGCTACTTCAAGTACCACTTCAATAAGCTCCAAGGACTTTTTACCAGACAATGCATTACAAAAGAACATAATTTTTTTTTTCAGATTATGCCCCTTAAAATGTTCAAATTAATATTTAAACGACATGTCCTTTTAGGTCATTTTACATTGTTATTTAGCTTCTTAGCGGGTTTTTACCAAGCATGGAGGAGCTTATTAGTTGTTCTTATCGGCCAGCGGCTAACTTATAAGCTAGTTTACACCATTTCTGTTTCGACTACTATGCAGTATGCACCTGTACTGTATGTAATCGAAAAGGGAGGTGCGACTTGAAATCACCTATTTGTATGTAAACTAAACAGATGAAAGTCAACTATGCACAGTTCATACATTGCCAGTCGCATATCGTAAATGGATAAGACAGAAGCAGAGGTGCCTCATGTGTACATTTCCATGAAGGAGAAAGAAAGAAAAAGACTCATACAGGTAAGTACAAATTTCATCTCAGGAAGATAAGAGGCAGATTCAAGGAAAAAGTAGCAGCATCTGCAAAGGTTTCATGTTCAAAACGCCATTTAACCGACAAGTGTTTGGTACACGTACTAGATAGAACAAGTTGTACGTCTGGTGTCGGGCATGATTAGGACCGGACTAGACTGGGATTGACAAGTTCCTTCTAAATATTGTTTAAGATTCTATATGGTGGTTACTGGTGGTGGTGATAGTGGTGGAGGTAGAGGCGGTGGTGGCTGGTGACTGACGGTGGTTGTAGAGGACGTGGAGATGGTGGTGGTGGCGGTGGATGTCATGGTGGTAGAGGTGGTGATGGAGAGAGGCAGTGGTAGCCGATGGTGGTGGAGGTGGCCACCAATAGTGGTGGAGGTGGCCACCAATGGTGGTGGTGACGGCGATGGTCGGTGATGGTTATGAGGTTTTGGATATGGTGGATGGTGGTGGCGGTCGACAATGGTGGATATGGAGGTGGAGGTGGTGGTATTGGTAACCAACGGTGAATATGGTGGAGGTGGTCAGGGGTGGTAGACAGAATTAACTACTAGAGAATTAACTAGTAGTTCTTTGTAACACACTCCTAATACATCTTATCAAGACGCCCAACAAATGAAATGATGCATAAACGAGTTACTGTTTATTTCCATAAAACCTTATTAGCAAAACAGTACCCTCAATTGGTACAATTACGGGATATCATTAAGTTAGCCACCCACAATGATATATGTCCTTCAGTTTTGACGATTGAGAACGAGATTGTAGTATACATACAGAAGAAATCACCAAAGTATCATATGCACATTCAAATCTAGGGTTACAAAATCTTAATATCGATAAATCAGATTGGAAACGTAGAGTCATACCTCTTGTGCCTTTGAGCAAACACGGAGTTTTTCCTGTCTTCTTCTGCAAATTAATTTAAAAAAACAAGTAATCAGTTAACCTCGATCACGAGATTTGAGATCGAATCAGAATTTGATTGACTCGTGTGCAAAATTTCAACAAAAAGTGAATACGAACCGGTAAGTCCGAGGGAGAACTTGGTGATGATGGTTCCGGTGACGGCAAATCCGACAAGGAATGGCCAGTTACGACTGAATTCCCTCTTGAAGAATACGGGCCATGGATCGAATTTCCTCATCCTCTGTCTCTCTGTATGGATGCGTATAATCGCTCTGCCGCTGTATTACGATGCAAACTGGTGACTGGTGAGATTATCGCCGAGTTGGGTATAAATACCATGGATTTGGGCTCTACTTTTTGGATCTTTTGGGCTCTATTCTTTTGGATCTTTTTGGACTCGACTTTTGGTTTTGGAGCCTGCAATAGCCAAACCAGACCAGCCCGGCTCGGCCCGGGACCTGTTATGAATTTGGGGTGTTTTACGGGACCGGGACCGGTTATGGACCGGCCCGGCCTGATTTTTAAAAATGTAACTATTTTTTTTAAAATGTAGCTGTTTTTTGGCCCTTTTTTTTTGTATTTTTTGCTTTCTAAACACTATATATAAGTGTCTTGGTTGAGGGATTTACATACCAAGTACTCGATTCGCAAAAAACGCAAAAAAACCGTTCACAATTATCGGTTTCTCGCTATATTTTGTAAGACAATGTAATTTTAATTATAATAAAACGCATTTTTAAAGTGTATTTGAGTAACCCATTTACAAATTTTATAATGTATTAAAAATATATATCATTAAAAAATAAAAATAAAAAAATTATTTTTTAATGACCGGGATCGGTTGGGACCAGGACCGGCGGCCCATAACCGGTTACAATAAAGCTTGACCGGGCTCAACTTTTTCGAGCGGGACCGGAACCGGTTTTTGGCCATCAGTAGTCTGCACTATGCAATCAAACTTCTTAAATTAGGGTTTATTTTAGATTTGGTGATAGTCGGGTTATAAATAAACATCGACATGATCTAAATATCTTTTGTTAATTATAATCGGGTCTCAAGTATATGTCAATAACAATAATCATAGTAAAGGCATGCTTCTTCATCAATATAGTTTGTTATCATGCATTTAATATAGCAGTTTTTCATATACAAAATGAAAAGTAATGAAAGTTAACGTAAAGTGTTTTGGTCATGTGTCTTGATTCAGTTGTATGTTATAAACAAAAGATCACAACATCTACACAACCACTGTAAGATGTATTATGTGTATTTGTTTATATATATATATATATATATATATGTGTGTGTGTGTGTGTGCGCGCGCGCGCACGCGTACGTGTATGTGTTCCCTATCCAAATTTGGCACTAATCGTCTTCAAAGTTTAGTTATTTTCACATGGAATGCTTATGTTATCGTTGTCTGCTAAATTATCGTGTGAGAAGGGAAGTTATGATGAAAAAACCGTAAGAAGAGATCTGAACTTTTGTTCGTTTTTAATTTTCATGTCCACCTATGAATTATGTCTTAGAAAGGAATTGATCTGGTGCATTTCATTAGTGTTGACATTCAATTAAGATTGATCAAAGAGTGGATATCTCTTCTTACATTTCTCACCAAAACTTCCCTTCTCACTTAAACCCAATCCCTTGTTGGCATACCTTGATGTTTTTGGCATTATCGTTACAATCTCGTTTGTTGTTATCATTGTCACGCCAATATTATTATTGACTTCTGTCAATTTTCCATTTATTAATGGTTAATATGATTAACACCACAATATAGGAAAATCTTGAGCTTAGGACCACCCCTTGGGTCCAAGGGTTTCACTTAACAATCCTTTCAACCACTTAGACCTCGACTTTACTCTTTCGCCCCATGTAGTCTTCTTGTTCTCGAATCGGTTGTTACAATTAACGTCGTAAAATCATGGGATATTACAGTTTGAGGACTATATGGTATGCTAGTGAGGTCTCAAAACGCATTTGGAATCAAACGTATGAATAAATTGACTTACTAAGCGACAATGGTTAGGGGGGTGCAAAATGCATTATAAGGCATAAATATAATCGTCATTTCATCCCTGATTAATTTACAGAAGAACCCCGTGAAGAAAAGGTGAAAACAGAAGACGATATCCTGGTGTTTTGAGTAATGATCAACAAAAAACATTATATATGCTACCTTATAAAGCAGACTTTATAAAAATAAAACATAAAAATAATTTTTAATGCATAAAGTACTGTTGTTTTTTGTATAAAGTCTTAAAAGTCTTAATTACAAATTAATAAACATGATGTACAAGTTACCAATGCATAACTTTTACACATGTTTTTTATTTTTCCCATATGACTTTTTATTTTTATCTTATCTTCAAGGATATTAGTTGTTTTTACCTTTGGTTATTCGATATAAGAAGCGACCTTGAAGTCGCACAGAGTACCCGTTCGGAGGGACTAGTCATAACAAAATACATACTACAAGGACCAAATATATAATTAATTGAGTTTAAGAACGTTAATCATAATTTTTGACATACTACAAGGACCAAATCGATAATTCACTCTTCTTTTCTATTTTAAAGATTTTTTTAAGAAATAAAGAAGTCCAAAAAACTTGTAAATTTAAAAAGAAAACTCAAAAAACTTTAAACGAAATTTATAGGGTGGCTAATGGCACCCCTATTATGTGCTAATGCCACCCCTAAGTAGGTTTCAATCATTTGCATTTTATAAATTTTTGTGTTTTTTTGTTTTTTTGTGATGATTACTTTTTATTTTATTATTAATTAAAGAAAATTTAAATTAATATATATTATTTATTTAATTTCCTGTTTTATTTAT